GACTGTCTCTTCAGACTTGGTCTCTTAGGATCATCCACAGGTACCTATACTGTGGATAGGTCTTAGTCATCAGGTCTACTCCACTTCCTTGTTGCCTGCTTAGACTCTTGGCACTCTTAGGTGAGCAGACTTAGTCAGCCTGTGTTGCCCTAACACTGCCTGACATGCAGCAAGTCCTTTGCTGTCCAGACATGTCACTCATCTTCCATCTCCAGAAAAGAGTATATGTACCGTGCACTCTCTAACATCTTCAGGACCTCAAGATATTCAAATGCTTTCTCATTACTGGCTGGTTCCCTCTGGAGATTTTCAAAAAATTGTTGTTCATCACAGCAGAATTGCTCCAGATCAATGGTCATAAGGTTCTGAGTCCTCAGGACTGCTGATACTGCTGGTCCCTGTGTCTGGAGTATCTTGAGGGCTTGTTGGTAGTTCTGGAAGAGATATTCCCCTAGGTTTATGTTCAGGAATGACACTCTTTTTGCTCTTGACTGACTCACCTAATGCTGCACAATGGTTGGAGTCCCAAGTCTGGTAAAACCAGTCCAGAGTCATATGGCAATGAAAGGCAGATCCATGCCAGAAAAGGTGTGTGCAGCAATTTTCTTGACCAAACACCCACTCACAAGTCTCAAAATCTTCAAGTCCAGCTATTGTCAACACTTGTGGATGGTATTGTATCTGGCAGCAGCAATTATGGGCATATCCATGGAACACCCCAACAAAAAAACAAAGTCTGGATTGGGCTGCTTTGTCTCCAATGGTGCTCTGGAGGACAGTGATTGAATGGGTGTGCCCAATGTCATAGCCAAAACCAAGGTCTGGACCATAGTGATTGAGAAGGCAGTCCAGAGATACTATTGAGTACTTTGCTCTAGACTCTGCATCAGTTTGCACTCCAAAGCAGTCAGGACAAATGCTTACAGCTCTCTGCTCCAGATCATATCAACAGAGTAGCATATGAAAGCATGCCAGCAGACTGTCAAGAAATGTCCTGTCTTGGCAAGGGCCTGTTGGAAGATCTGTCCTGACTCCTGAGCTTGTGAAGACTTCCACTTCTTGGCACAAGTTCCCAGTGTCTTGTCCAGACTGATCTGTCCTCCGTAGTCAGGAGGAAGGCCATCAGTTGGATCTCCCTCCTGACAAGGTCTTCTGCTTTGTCAGGGGTCTTGGCTGCTCTGTACATCATTCTTGAAATGTTCCACGTGTTCATTCGGGAGGATGTAGTCACTGTTGTACACACAAAGATCTTGATGTCCTGCATATGCAAATCATTTGCTTGAGTTGTTCCCATCCCCACAGAGAAGTCAGGAGAGAGGCAGTGCTGGCTCATCTTGGAGCTAAGCCCATAACATGTCAGTCAAGCTTTACTTAGTATCTCAGGAGCGCACCTTGTAAGAACATGCTGGACATGTGTGTTTGATGCACCAGTCAGGAGAGTCATGACTGAAACCAGCTGACACTCTCTTCTCAAGTGCCACAAGTAACAATGCATATGCGTCATATGTGTCTGCCATTCTTCTCTGGAAGGATGGCTTGTATGGCACCTGTTTCAAACATCTGGATCAGTCTACAAGCCAGTCTGGAATGGAAAACTTACCCAATGCAAGTCACATACCACCCATGCCCATGCTTCCAGAGACAAATACCCATGCACATGTGCTCTGTGGTATACCTCAAGAATGCAGATGTCTATTGCCATCTGTGGCATCTCTGGAGTGCAAGCAAGAAAGCCATGTCTCAGGAGAACCTGGACTGGACTTGCATGCTAGTCAACCATGCCAAAGACATGACACTCCAGACCAGTCCATGTGACAAGCTCCAATTCGAATGTTTGCCTTGACTCTGGAGGGATGTGCTTGCCAACAGAGCCTGGGGCCTGTATGTGCTATGTCAAGAAGTCATCCACAAGATCTTCCATCAAGAACAACCATGTTGTGGCTTGCTGGAGGATGTGCCATGCATATAATCCTTCTCCAGAGGCATATGTCTGTCATCTGTGTCTCCAATCAGCAAATGTGTGCCATGCTTTCCAGACAAAATGCACATATGCTACATCCACCCATTCCTGGTACAGTGTCTCCTCAACCTCTTCCCCATCCCCCATCTTGACATTGACCCACTGCCCTCCTCCCAAATCCTCCTGAAACATTGTGTCAAATTCATCCTGGACAAATTGAATTGCCTCGGCTTTTGTTAGGGCAACACAGGCTGACTAAGTCTGCTCACCTAAGAGTGCCAAGAGTCTAAGCAGGCAACAAGGAAGTGGAGTAGACCTGATGACTAAGACCTATCTACAGTATAGGTACCTGTGGATGATCCTAAGAGAC